CCCCACACGAAGAAGAAGAAGAAGAAGATTTCGGCTGCGTTCCGTTTCACGCATTGAGCGCATAGATCGCATGGAAATCTATAGTTTACGTAAAGCCCGTTCTACATTGATCGCATGTCGCCAGTCGCAAGCAAATCGACCAATCACAGTCGATTATTCGACGGAATAATCGACTGTGATTGGTCGATTTGCTTGCGACTGGCGACATGCGATCAATGTAGAACGGGCTTTACGTAAACTATAGATTTCCATGCGATCTATGCGCTCAATGCGTGAAACGGAACGCAGCCGAAATCTTCTTCTTCTTCTTCTTCGTGTGGGGAGTTGGCACCGACGAGTACTCGTCACACGGCCATAAACAGGTTTACAGAGAAACAATAAGATATAGCACTCAAAAAGGGTAGCATCATTGTAGATATAGCACTCAAAAAAAGGGTAGTATTATTGTAGAAACGCAATCAATAGATATAGCACTCAAAAAAAGAAAAATATTCATAGAGTAGCAATTAATAGTGTAGTAAAAATAGAGTCCAGCCGAAATCTATTTATAATATACTGTTGCATCCGCGGATCGCTATCGATTAATCTCGAAGCGCGACACAACTGGTACTCGCGACTATGATTTTCTTTCTCACTTCCTCTGGACATGTTTTTCTTTCGAGAACAATAGGCATTTCCCTTCCATTTATATATGTTCTAAGATTAAAATCAATGGCAAAATTTTTCACTTTTCCCCACTTGTACATGTACACGGTTTACGCTTGTGTGCGTATCCCCTCTACATGCCACACGCGCTGGCAGCAGGCACAAAAACGCAAAACTTGCATCACTGCCCTAGGCCCTAGGCCCTATACTCTATCCAAAAAGAGAATGATCTCGGTTCGCGCATAAGCGGGCAAAGTGGGGAGAACGTGGCGAGATACTCAATACCGTATACGTGTTGTTGGCCCGAATACATGACCCACCCCAGATCATTACGGCCATTTAAATATTAAGAATACGAATACAAGAATAGGCATCAGTCGTGTCGTCACGTCGTCACGTCTTCAGTCGTCAGTCGTCAGTCGTCAATCGCAACGGTAGCCGATAGTACATAGTGCGTATTTAGCTGCGAGGTGTATATCCGATCGCGAATAGAACCACATACACTAACATTTGACGCTTTTAGCATTTTCGAATTGACAATTCGCCATTACGCACGCTCCCGCTATTCTTCCGTCTCTTTCTGGCCATCGGTGTCTCTAGATCTTGAAACGTTAGTCGTGATACGTAACTGGGAAAACACGTGCGAGAGAAAAGCCAGGTATTACAACTCCTCAACGAGGACAACGATGCTTAGTAAAAAAACTAAGTCTAGGAAGAAGACGGCAGCCGCCGCGTCCTCCGCGACAAACGTCCCGTCCTCCACAACAATCGCCGCCTCGTCGTCGTGGAGTAGTATGCAATCGCCGCCGAGCACGTTGACGCCGATCGTCAGCCGACAGCCTGGCAGCCCGCTCAGCCTCAGCGATCGGGCATCTTACATCGAAGCGATACGTTACCTCGAATGTGAGAACTCTCGGTTGAAGCGGGAGATGCAAACCACCCAGGAAACCGTCACTCGGGAGATATCCAACATCGAGGCCGTGTATAGCCTCGTACTCTCTAACAAGCGGAAGCTGCTCGACGAGGCGGACACGGAACGCGTCAAGCTCGAGCTCAATATCAAACGCTTGCGGGATGATAACGGAGATCTCAAGAGCAAGTAAGGCCCAGTTCCACAACTTACTTTAACCGAAGTTTAACTCGTTAATGGAAAATTCACATTACGTTTGATGACCGATGTATCCAATCGGACGTCATACATTGTACATCAAATGCAATGTGAATCCTCCATTAACGAGTTAAACTCCGGTTAAAGTAAGTTGTGGAATCGGGCCTAAGTGATACTATATAAAGCCTGCGGCACACGGTACGATTTTTCGTACTGATTTTGTTAATTGATTCGTTGCGTGCTGTTTAGCGAAGTATTCTACTTGTTCCAATCATAAGAGTGTTACCAGTTTTGGCGTCACACGTGCAGATTATCTTAGGCCCGTCTACATAGGACGCAACACGCCAGACGCAAGCAAAATCGACCAAAAATATAGTACCGAACCTATTATCAAAAACTAGCATGCTAGCCAGTGATGCCAGCACGCACAGCAACACGCAGCACATAATATTTCAAGTTGCATAGCCATTATAATTGCTAGCAAAATGTCTCGCATGCGATCTAGTATGCAAAATCGTACCGTGTGCCGTAGGCTTAATATTTTTTCACATTATTTCTTTACTCGCGAAATGGGTAGGAAAGTAAAATGGCATTAATAAGAATTGTATTAATATTGACAGATATTGGCACAATTGACAGTAAATGTATTTATATCAGAGATAATTATTTTACTAAAGAAAATAAATGATATATGTTTGTGATTTAATGCGTATGACTAACATTTTTATTTTACGTATGTTTTCCAGATTGGAGAAGAAAACAAAGGATTTGCAGATAGCAGAGCGAAATGCAATAATACATGAAAAACGCAGTGATTTGCAATCGCCGGCGAAACTTACTGAGAAAGATCAAGATTCGAAGAAGGAAAGTGATCGATCGAAAGCATTGCTCGACGCTCTGAAACACCAGGAGAAGGAGCGAATCGATTTTGCAAACGTTATCATATCACGTGTCTTGTGTATATCGTGGGAAAAACCTATAGAGGGAAGAATATTTCTGCCGCAAACGGCAGCATACACGCAAACACAGAGACTTTTGGACTTTAGCGATATTATCAATCAGGCATTGATGGAGATTTTATGCATATTCTCGAGAGAGGAAGATCCTTTGAAAGACATCACAGTAGACACATCATCCGACCGTGAAGACAGTCCGAATAGCCAAGCGAGTCCTTTGATAAGTCCTGCTGTGGCTCCTTCATTTTATCAATTACCGACTATACCATTATTCATAGGCGACAGCTCATCACAACCGAAAAGTTTTACTTATTTATTAGATTGTTATTCAAGAATTGCAATTGAAGAAAGAAATCATGAAGAGGTACGTACATACACACACTTCAAAATTAGACAAGATTTTGTTAAATTAATTTATATTTATATATTTTATAGCAATCCAGTGTACCTCCTCTTTCCGATGTACTGACAATTTTGAGAGCGCAATGTGTTCAGTATTCCAGTCTTGTTCTACAAGGGTTGATCGGCATTTGCCAAGCTGCTGTTATACCTAAGTGCACCATTCATCTTCTCTATCCGATATTATCGCAAAACTTACCTCGGGGCTATCTTTGCGAGCTCGTGGTTAGGACACACACGAATCCGAACACATTCAATAAAATTTTCACTCCAGTCTTGCAAGGTCTGTATCTCGCGATGCAGCAGACGAGCTTGAGCTTGGACGACAATATGCATAGACCGATCGAGGCGCTAGGCGAACTGATAGAGATTCGCTGTGGACCAAGCGGCAATATACGTCCGATTTGCCGTCTGATAACGAATCAAGTTCAATTCTTGCCTGACGTGACATCTGCAGCCGGTAGAGAGCTCATAAAGACCTCGTTTCTGGGACCGTTTCTCTCGCTATCGGTATTTGCCGAAGAACAACCGAAAATGATGGAATTCTTTAGCGGAGATTATCAGATAGATGTAGCGAAAGAGTTCTTCCTGCAGTACCAGTTGGAGATTACCAGACAGTCGTTGCACAAGATATTTGATGCGATACTCGCGAATAGCAACTGCCGCGATGCCACTCTTGCATACTTGGCAGCGTTGCTACGTCACAACGAGAAACGCGCGCAAATACAGACGGAGGAGGACAGTTCGTTCTTGGCCGGAGATGGATTTATGTTGAATCTACTATCGATTTTGCAAATGCTCTCTGTGAAGATCAAACTGGACACTGTAGACCCGCTGTATCCATTTCATCCTTCCAGCTTCGTCGAGATAAAAAACGATACAAGACTGAAACTCACTTCGCAAGAAATTGCAGAATGGCAGCAATATTTGGAGAGTACACATAAGTAGACAGAACCGAACTTTTCGACACAATGTTGGTTCCTCACGCTGCATTATCATCACATTGCGCTGTTACCGGCATTGCAAAACTATCGGAGAAAACTGTCGGCCTTAAAGGATTTACAAAAAATGCTCTGCGAACTGCAAGTCACAGAACCCCAATGGAGAGATAGTCCTATAGCAGAGCACAATAAAGACTTGATCAAAGAATGGAAGCAACAGTTGAAGCGATTGGTTAAATCCACATCATGTACGACAACAGGTGTGAATCATTGCATCCTTTTGAAAAGATGCTTACACTTTTATATATCGGTCGCCGAGTTTCTGCTGAGTCTTCTAACGCAGACTGCTTCGAGTAATCCTCTTCCTGAACTTCCGTTGCTTCAAGAAATTACGTGCAAATTCACCGCATTACCGGAATGGTATATGGAAGACATAGTGGAATTCTTGTTATTCACATTCAAGTAAGTTTTTACTAAATTATCAAGTCTCACAATTATACATAATGCTTATCTGTAGTTTATTTAGTAATTATAACTGCATTTTTTTATTTGCAGATACTACAAGCTTTCTCAAGTAAACTGGAATGAAGTGGATAAATCGCCGCTTATCACTTTGTTACTCGTCGTTGTGTGTACGCCACATTGTATACGAAATCCGCATCTAATCGCAAAAATCATCAAGCTTCTTTATAATATATATTTGTTATATAAGGATCAGGTTACGTTGAAATCAGCTTATAAATTGAAAATGGAAAACACTTTTGGCCATAAAGTCATGGCACATCCTATATCCAAGACATTTCTGGCGTTGTCTCTCATGAAATTTTGTACCGACGTTGAACTCATTGACACTAATTCCGAATTTGAGGACAAGTTTACAATACGTTATCACATAAGTGTGATCTTAAATTGGATGTGGGATAATCCGATGCATCGAGCGTCTATCGTCAATGAGAGTAATAACGGCAAGCACTTCGTCAAGTTTATCAACATATTGATGAATGATACTACTTTTCTGCTGGAGGAGGCTCTGGAATATCTGAACTATATACTTGAGATGGAGGAATTTATGTCCGACACTATCGCATGGAATGCTGTTTCGCACGAGGAACAACAATCGAGCACGAGACAGCTGGTGGCGGACGAGGAAAAAGTCAGATTTTCTCTTAAATTAGTCAAGGAAATAGTTGCTATGTTTCATTATTTAACGGTCGACATTAAGAAACCATTTCTACGACCAGAATTAGTCGGACGATTGTGTGCCATGCTGAATTCTAATTTGCAACAGTTGTGCGGACCTAAGTATGAAAATTTGAGAGAGAGAAAACTGGAAAAATACGGATGGCAACCAAGGACTTTACTCAGTCAGTTGGTTGATATATATTTACATCTTGACTGTGATGATTTTGTGGCTGCTTTAGCCAGTGATGAAGTGAGTATCTTTTATAATATATTATATATAGGGTGTCCGGTAAAGATTATGCCAACGTTCATAAGCGAGTAGAGCATAGTAAACTGAACAGAAAAGTCCCGTAACATTTTTGTTCTATAACGCTTAATAAAGGAGTTATTATTGAATATATAAAATCTGGTCAATCTGCGCCGACTTTTAGCCGGATGCACGTCGGTGAGCTGCCCGCCTGGTATTGTGCGTTGCCGTAGTGACAGCGCTCACCGCTCACGCACACTACCAGACACGCGGCAAAAGATCGGCGTTGATTGGCAAAATTTACTCAATAATAACTCCTTTATTAAGAGTTATAGAAATAAATGTTACAGGACTTTTCTTTTTAGTTTACTTTGTTCTACTCACTCACGAGCGTTGGCAAAATCTTTACCGGACACTATATATTACACATATATGTATACCCAGTCAGCCACGTCTGTTCTAACAGATATTGCCAAGTGCTTGCTACAAACTTTGCCAGATCTTGCTCGATTTTTGCCTCCACCCTGCCGAAAATGGTCGATTAAAACCGATTAAAACATAATCCGTTTTAATCGGTTTTAATTGGTTCAATCCGCGCCCGGATTAAAAAGTAATCGATTTTAATTCCGAACGAACTATAATCGGTTTTAATATCGCTTTCGCGGATTATTTCCAATCTAAAATCATTACATTCTAATCCATATTGTTGTCAATCCAAATAAACACAAATAATCGAATGGATATTGTGGCTGCCATAGGTCGTCACATTAAGCACAATCCGCAATACAATAGTGCGACCCGCAACTTGGCGGACACGCACTCGCGTGTCTGCGCGTAGTTCCGGGCGGCGCCGCTACGCGGCGAAGGTCGAGCGAGCCTACCTGGAAGTAGAAAGCGGCCAGGGGGGGGTTATAAGGCGAACCCTCTGCGGAGAATTCGTATATTTGTTTTTAACAACTGAGTTTCAATTGCAGAAACACCGATTCAATAATTAATTGTGACTCATGATAACAGCAAATCCGACTTCACGCGTATTGTGCTTAATGTGACGACCTACGGCAGGCACAATATCCATTCGCTTATTCGTGTTTATTTAGATTTACAACAATATGGATTAGAATGTAATGATTTTAGATTGGAAATAATCCGCGAAAGCGATATTAAAACCGATTATAATTCGTTCGGAATTAAAATCGATTACTTTTTAATCCGGGCGCGGATTGAACCGATTAAAACCGATTAAAACGGATTATGTTTTAATCGGTTTTAATCGACCATTTCCCGCAGGGTTGTTATCAAATTGCTTACTGGGTATACATGTATGTATATATATAAAATTCATTTTTGCAGCATTTGTTTTGTAACGAGTTATTCACCGACGCTGCGAATAAACTAGAAAGATCCGCCATTAAAACTACGACGGAAATTGATAGGTTCGTAGCTCTCGCTGAGCGTGCGGCAGTAATCGCAAGAGACAATCGTGCGCGTGGCGACGCTCCTGAAGAATTTCGGGATCCATTGATGGACACTCTTATGGAGGATCCAGTCAAGCTACCGTCTGGTATTGTTATGGACAAAGCAGTTATCATTAGACATTTACTCAACAGTGCCACGGATCCTTTCAATCGGCAGCCGCTTAGCGAAGATATGCTCACGCCAAGTAAGTACATGTACTGTTCATATTTTTTTCTTTTTTGATAAAGTCAAGTTTCTTTTAGTTTAAATATTGGTAACATTTCATAACAATGCATTTTCATATACATAAATATATTAGAAAAATATTTGATGTGTCATAGATAATATAGTTTTTGACTGTCCTTTAAAGTCTATCGTATTGAAATTTTTTAATATCTTATGCCTTATGCCGATTTTAAAATATGTATTTAAATTATTGTAAGTTTTTTTATCCATGTAGAAATATAATAGTAGTGAAACTATCAAAATTAGAAAAAAAACATTTTTCTTATGTTTATATTAAGTGAGCATTTTGTGTTAAGCGAACGGATGGAAGTGACCATATATATATAAGTGGACGGGTCAAGACGACTGCTCAGGAACGAATTGCAGCATAATATAGACAAAACTCTATCTATATATAGGCTACGTTCCAAAACGGTGTAAAATTTCCTCTCCGAGTAAAATTTTACTCGATGGTCGGCCTGGAACCAATCAGAAACGCTCAAAAAAATTTCGAAACGGCCAACGAGTAAAATTTTCCTCGAAGAGTACATTTTGGAACGTAGCCATAATATATCTATGATATAGATAGAGCTTTATCTACTTCTTCTTCTTCTTTCTTTTATGGCTGGTTGGGCATTAGTCGCCCATACACCATTGTTTCTTATGGGTTTGTAGAATATAAGCAAAACTCCTCTAAGAGAGGAGGGAGTCCAAAAAAAGGTCCAGACAAAGGACATACGCAGCACGCAAAAACACGTCCGAACCCGACACGTTGTCAGTCGGAACTAGAGCTTTATCTATCTTTATCTATCTATGCTAAATATTGAAAAGAGATGCCAAATAAGATAGATTTGTTATTGGCTCTTGCGGCCTTTCGCAATGCATTATGGATTCTTGGATGACATACACAGTTTCAATATATGATTAAAGGCACTTGCACAATGCTAGGTAATAACGATAGCGATAGGCGATATCCAATGAGAGCACTGCTTTTTCGAAAATGCAGGGCTCTCATTGGATATCGCCTATCGCTATCGCTATTGCCTAGCATTGTGCAAGTGCCTTTAATCATATATTGAAACTGTGTACGTCATCCAAGAACCCATGATGCATTGCGAAAGGCCGCAAGAGCCAATAACAAATCTACCTTATTTGGCATCTCTTTTCAATATTTAGCATCTCTTTTCAATAGCGACTGTGCACACGCCGATTCTTTGCAATGCATTATGCCCGTATCAGACTACGCATTGAAAACTGAAGATTGAAGATTAAAGATTGGAATTTGACTAATTAGAACAAAAGGGACTAAAATTTCTTTGTCCTGATTGGTCAAATTTCAATCTTCAATCTTCAATCTCAATCTTCAATGCGTCCTATACGGGCTTTAAGCCCGTGTCACACTACGCATTGCGGATTTGGATTACGGACTGCGAATCGTCAATCATCCAATCAGATCCTTGGCTACTTCGTTCTGATTGGATGGATGACGATTCGCAGTCCGTACTCCAAATCCGATCCGAGTTCGCAATGCGTAGTGTAACACGGGCTTTATGGGTTTCAGGATGCTCCTGACTTAACCTTACTTTATATAACCTTAGGATCACCTAAAATCGGACCGTGGCATCTCTCAGGTTTCTCTCTGCCAAATATTATATCACCGAGAAATGTCTGATTCACTTGTCCATAAAAGTTTGGAATTATTGAACTACGGAAAAGATCCACATAAAGGTTAGTTTATTAAGAGACTGTGTTACATTTGAAAATTGACGTGATGGAAATATTTTTCATATATGATAATTTGTAGAACAAAAGAAAAGGAAAAAACGTAAAGACACCAGATATAAAGGAGTTTTGGATCTAATTCCCACTAAACACAGGATCATCTCCAAATACGATAAAACAGGTTAACAATCATTTTTAATCATCTTTAAGCCAATTGCACAATTTAAAAAATAAATTTTGTATATAAATATATTATAAATTATAAAATATCATATATATATATATATTATAGTAAATTATTTATTTACTGTTATATATATTTAACTAATATTGATATTATGTTTGTATATTATTATTAAATTATTTAATAGATACAGGTGAGTAAAAGTAAAATAATACTTTTTTTTTTAAAGATTTTGATGCAGTTTTGGCTCGATCTAACAAAACTACTGTTTATGAGACCCAAAAACGCATAGCTACTCAACAAGATCCTACCGACAAAAATGTACAACAACTTCTTTTACTTAGCAATAATCGGATAAATCCTGAAATAGCAAGCAAAGTATGAGAATTTTCTCAATTGCATTTTCAAATTTACTAATCTTGCATCTACTGTAGATATCTCAGTTACTCAGATATCAGTTTACTCGAATTTGTTAGACTTTTTTTTTCTTTTTCAGTTATTGCATCGTGTTATCAAAAAGAGATATATCCAACAGCAGGAGAAATCTAAAGAGCCAGAGGAGACAGCTTTTACTGAAGAGGACTTTAAGAAGTTTGAACAGGAATATGTCCAATAATTATCAATCGTGACATTAAATGAAAGAATAAGACAACAAAAAACGTTGGTAAAATTAAAATAGGATCACAAAAAACAATGTTTGAAAGCGATCATCAAAAAGGAAAAGTGATATTAATATTGACATTTGTCTTGTTTTTCTATTATACCATTTGGGTACTTGGTTTGCCGTTCATCGACGACGATAGATTCAAATTTCTCTTTTACTCTCACGATCTGGCTCTGATGGTTCCCGCGAGTTTCGGTCTAATTTTCATTGGCGGTTTAATACTTTTTACTATATATCACGTGAAACCATATTTGTCTCTACATAAAACAGAGAAGGTAGAGCAAAGTAGTTCAATGGCAAATTGTCAGAATCCGCAATGGTGTTAGGAAGCTATGTTATCGTCGCAATATATCATACGCATTGTGTTAATATGCATAACTCACGCATGCAGCTGATACCCGTGTGATATAAAACATTGATTAAAAGTGTCTGTTATATAATCAATGCTACATCATTTCACATATGCTCTAAATTGTTCAATGAGAAAGTGTCTGCTTTTTGTCATATTTCTAATATATGATACTGATGAATAAAATAATGATGCAGTGGTTTGTCATTGGCATATCTGGGGCGACCTGTAGCGGAAAAAGCACATTGGCTAATAAGATTCTCGACAATTTTCCAAAATCTGTTATGGTGCGTCAAGACGATTATTTTTTGCCATCGGACGATCCACGTCACATTATGATACAGGAATTAAATCATTTAAATTGGGACCTAATAACGAGTCTGGATATGCAGAGAATGCATTCCGATATTATAAAGATACTTCACTCTCACGAAAATGATGCAGTGGGTTTGAAGAAGAGAGTACTAATACTAGATGGATTTTTGCTTTTCCGACACAAAGACACTACGGATTTGTGTGATCGTAAATATTTTTTGACATTGACGAAGGAACAATGTTGGGAGCGAAGAAAAAATCGTATATACGAACCGCCCGATGTACCGGGATATTTCGATAAGGTAGTGTGGCCCGAATATATAAAATATAAAAATGAAATTATTAAAAAAAAGGAGTTGCATGGAACTATAACGTTTATCGATGGATCTAAGGATATGGAACAAATTTATGAGATGGTTTCTCAAGAAATCAATCAATTATTATCTTAAAACTGTACTTATCGATGTAACTTTATATAATTTTAAATTAAATAAATATTGTTAATTTAAAACGAGAAAGATTTTTTTTTGTGGAGATTTTATATTGTGAAGAGTAGTGTCGTAAATTAAAAAGTTCCAATAATTTATAACTTTTTCAATATTCCCTAACAAGATATTTTCTTTTCATTTCAATAAAATGTCTTGCTTTTAATATTTTTTATAATATTTGCCGATCAAATTGTATATGTGCAAATACACAATACTTGTCTGCCATATAATATAATTTATAATTCATTTACAATACTTTTCTTTTCACATCTGCAAATGCTTCTGTATTCGCGTCGATTGTATTTCGCATTTTTTAGAAGTGCAAGTGTTAGTTTTCCCAACAAAATATATATAGTGTGTTAGTTTTCCCAACAAAATATATATATACTGCCTAAGAACATATATATACTGCCGAAGCAAGTACTCCCAATAAAATATATTAATTTCCATAATTGAAGCATGTATATATATTAATTATGATAATAAAACTTATTTTGGATATATTAAAAATTAATTATAAATTTCAAATTATTTGTATAAAACAAATTATCCATTGTTTTATAACAATGAAAGCATGCCGTCCGCGTAAAAACAAAAAAAATAGTAACTTACTAACTAAAAATTAAGATAAATGAAGTTATTTGAAATTGATTATGAATAATAAGAAAAAAATCAATATTTTTTGTACTATTATTATAATTTAATTCGTAAATATTTATACAAAATAGGTCGCAAAAAAATTTCTCTGACTATTATTACTACCC